CTTTTTTTTTTTTTTTAAATATATTTTATTGATTTTTTTACAGAGAGGAAGGGAGAGGGATAGAGAGAGTCAGAAACATCGATGAGAGAGAAACATCGATCAGCTGCCTCCTGCACACTCCCCACTGGGGATGTGCCCACAACCAAGGCACATGCCCTTGGCCGGAATCGAACCTGGGACCCTTGAGTCCTCAGGCCAACGCTCTATCCACTGAGCCAAACCGGTCAGGGCCCAAGATGAATTTCTTAAGCTGCCTCGATGCGTGGACGCAGCGCGGACCTGTCTGTTTCCTGGTGCTGTGCTGAGGAACCAGTGAGGCTCCCAAGCCCGGCGTGTGAGACACAAGCACTTCACGAGGATTTTCGTCCCTTCACTGTAACCCCGGGCAGGAGGGGAACTCCAGGCCTCACCTCAGTCTGCTTTCTTTTATTGTTTTGTGTTTTTTTTTGTTAATCCTCCCCTGAGGATATTTTCCCACTGATTTTCAGAGAGAGAGAGTGGAGGAAGAGAGAGGGAGAGACAGAGAGAAACATTGATGTGAGAGAAACACACCGGTGGGTTGCCTCCTGCACGCGCCCTGGACCAGAATCGAACCCAGGGCCCTTCGGTCCGCAGGCCGACGATCTATCCACTGAGCCACACCGGCCGGGCTCAGCCTCTAAGCACCGCGGCTGTTGGGGCCGCGGAGTAAGAACCTGCAGCTCAGGCAGGGCTGGGTTTTGCAATCCCGCCGCCAACCCGGCCGCGGGCAGGGCCGCCTGTGCATGGCGGCCTCGGTGACCCCCCTCACGTCCTCTCGCCCCCCGCGAAGGAGGAACTCTAGACGGTAATCGCTTGCACTGGCTTCCTGGCAGGACGGGCCTCGCGTATGTGCAACCCGGCACACGGGGGTCACGCTGCTGGTCTGGTCACTCCCTGTTGCAACCCAGCCGCTCCTTAAAAATGGGTCGGAACAGCCCCCTCCAGGCTCACAGGAGAAAGGCTGTGCTTCTCCCCAAACTCAGGACGAGCCCTGCTGCTCACAACTGAAGCGAGAACCTCCCGACAGCACCACGGACCCCGGCCAGACCCTCCTGCAAAGCAGGTTGAACAACTGAGCCCGTCGCCGGTGCAAACCCAACAGCACTGTGCAAAGCAAAACTACAAAAATGAGTAAATAAATCACGGGAGAAGAATGCGGGGGTTTCCAACGTTTCACGATCACACTTTCCCCCGGTCGCCCCCCCCCCGCCCCCCCGGGAGCCGTCCCGCGAGCTGATGCACAAACACCGAGACCGGGAATGCAGGCAGCAGCTCGCCGCCGCCACGGCCTGCGGAGTTATTGACTGACTGTCCCAAACGGGACCAAGGTTCACGCCGAACCAAAGTCCCAGACAAGGCTGGCCTGCCTGCGGCCCCCGGGGTTCTCGGGGTGGACTCTACGGCCTCGTGCTCCTTCCAACCTCGTCCTCCGCGCCTCCGCTCTAGGAGACCTGCACCCCTCCCCACCGCCAGCTCTGCCGCTGCCCTTTCGCTCCCGACACCCGCAGGGACACATTTCCCCTTCGGCGTGGAAGGTCCGAGCCGTCCTGCTTTCTATCGGCCTTTCCCAAGAGGCCCGGGTCCGACACCCGCCTGAGCTGCGTCTCCAGGCTCATCGGCAGCAGCGTTTGGGCCTCGCCAGCCGCTCTCAGGCTCCACCAAGCACAGCCCGCAGGTCCCACGCCACACACAGCCTGCAGGTTACATACCAAGCACAGCCTGCAGGTCACACGCCACACACAGCCTGCAGGTTACATACCAAGCACAGCCCGCAGGTTACACGCCACACACAGCCCGCAGGTTACATACCAAGCACAGCCCGCAGGTTACATGCCAAGCACAGCCTGCAGGTTACATACCAAGCACAGCCTGCAGGTCACACACCAAGCACAGCCCGCAGGTCACCAAGAGCCCAGCACGATTCCGTCCCGTGGAAGGTGTGGGCTGCTGCCTGCACAGGGGAGGAGCCAGGGGTCCTGTAGCCCCATGAGCTGAGAACACATCCCCTGGGGACGGGGAACACAGGGCGGGGCCTGCCAGGTCCCCCATCTCCCTGGGACTTACTCTCAGAGGAGAAATGGCAGAGAATCAGAACTCCTCTCCCGCTCACAGCGGATCAGGGTGCGAAGGCCCTGCGGCTTCATGTCACCCGAGCAGCTCGGGGCTCCGTGAAGGCTCCGCGATTACTAACGGCGATAGAGACGCTTTAAGCGCCTTCGAATCTGAGCTGACGCTCTCCGTCCAGGCGCGGACTCCCTAACTTATTTGCACAACACAACGCCCACATCCAGGCAGCCTTCTCGGGCAGGGCCCCCCAACCGGGGCTCACCGGCCACGGGTGTTTTAGGGGTCGGGGTCCTGCACAGAGAACTGGTTTGGGAGCCAGTTCTCTCATCGGCTGCCCAGAGTCAGTGACCGCAAGAGGGCCATGCAGCTCTCCCCGGAGCGAGCCCGGGTGTCCAACTTACACAGAACCTGAAGGGGCACACTCACATACAGCACGTGCTTTTTAAAAAGAGCCAAACGGGGACAAAGAAAGCAGAAATCATGTTGGAAGTGACTGCCCCCGCCCTACCCGCGTGGCTCAGTGGATAGAGCATCGGCCTGCGGACTGAAGGGTCCCAGGTTCGATCCCGGTCAAGGGCACATGCCCGGGTTGCGAGCTCGATCCCCAGTGGGGGGCGTGCAGGAGGCAGCCGATCCATGATTCTCTCTCATCGTTGATGTTTCTCTCTCTCCCTTCCTCTCTGAAATCAATAAAAATGTATTTTAAGTAAATTCTTAAAAAAAACAAACACAAAAGACAGTGCAATGCCCCCTTCGTGGTGATGATCTCTTTTAAAACCATCACCTCACAAGGGATGTTGTTATGACTTTTGATCAAGGTTAGGACAACAGGGTTCCCAGCGGCTGCTCTAAGTGCTGTTGTCCACGGAGGAAGCTGGGAGACACAGGGAACCCACACACCCTTCCCCCGAGTCGGGAAGCAGCGGCTGGCGGACACGGCTCTCGCCTGCTCCCAGGAAGGGCCCCGAGCAAACATTAATGTTCACGGGACATGTCGCACGGCCTCACCTGCCAGGCGGGCTGCGCACGGCGCCCACAAGGATCTGAAAGGTGAGCCGTGCCCGTGAGGCAGAGACTGTGAGCACCAGACCAGGAGGACGAGCCTTCAGTGGCGTCTACGCTGAGCACCACCTGGAAGCTCAGGGGCACTTTCCGGAGGGCGGGGCGCAGCTCCGCGAGAGCCGTGAACTTGGGGGCGAAGGGCTGTGTCATGTGCCCAAGAGGCCGTTCTGCCCAAGCTGCCGGCCAGCCGCTCGGGCCACCCTGTGACCACCGGACGCCAGGCGCCAGGGAGGGACCAGGTCAGCCCCTCCCACCTGACGGGCGATACAGGAAACCCCATCTGAGGAAGACGGTACCACCCAAGGTTTTAAAAACTCTAAATGCAGGGTTTGGTCCCATTTTTCTGTTCTGGTTACTGACCGACTTCACCCAGTACCGGCCGGGCGCTGCGAGGGGACGGCGTCCTTACCCCAAACGCACACACAACAGAGACACACAAGCGAGCTTCCTACTTCACACCCCGACATCTCAAGCGAAAACCCCAACTCTCAGTGGTCACCCCCAGACGCAGGCATCCCGCACGAGGGAAAGTGGGGGCAAGTGGGTGGGTCAAACGATCAACTGCGGGCCGTCGAAAAGAGAGGCGATCGCCTGCGCGGAGAAACCACAGCCGGGTTCACGCGGAACCAGGGACACTGCGGGGCCCACCTGCTTGAGAATGACCACGTGGAGCGAGTGCCTGGCAGAGAAAAAGCCAGTTGACCCTGGTCACTCGGGCCCGCCCCGCGCACAGACACCCCTCTACAGACAAATCCACAGTTAGGCTCAATATAAACACTTGATCGTCCCCTATAACAGCATCATATATTTTCACTCTTAACATTCGTAGCCACTAGATTTCAAAGCACAAGTTTCTCGTGGTTGTATAGAGCCACCTACAATGTCCTCTCCTCCATCTTTAGTTAACATATTTACTAAGTTGTAAATACCTCCTCTGCATCTTCAGGGTTTACTCCTAGCTCTCCCCTTCCAATAGCCATAAATTCCACCTTTCCAAACACTGCTAAACTGTCACTTAACAATACTTTTTTTCCTGCTGAAGATGCTCAGGACCATTTTTATTTGTGTCACGCTCTTGTTGTGCCTGGAACCAAGATACTGGAATCTGACTTAAAACGAAGACGCATAACCTCTCTGGAATCGTCTTTAGGATGGCTAACCCCATTTCAAGAAACCATGTCCCAACTCACATATTAAATTTCTCCGCTTTCATACAGTGAACCTCAAACACAAGGCAAACAGCCAACCAATTTTCAAATGAGCCTAGAAACATGAAATACTTGGGTTGAAAGAAAAGCACCAGCCCCTGGCCCGCAGGTTCCACCTCAGACATGAATGTTTTAGGAAACGCAGCCCATAGAAGAATCCGGACGAGGTGACGGTGCAGGAAGCACAGGGTACCGCATTTGCAATTTTGTGATTAACGGTTCTTTTATTGGTAGTAAACTAGAGCAAACAATCAGAATAATACATATGCAGTTTCAGTACACACAATAAAAGTTAGAGAAATCCAAAACCTGTATAAAACAAAACACGGGGGACCATACATCTTCAGATACAGTGGGAAGGTCCTCTCCGTCCTCCTCACAGCTCGCACTCTGCACCCCGCAGAACTCAACCGCGTTCCCCAGGTAAGAAATACAGACTTTAGAACCAAGTGTATGTAAGAGGGTTAAACACATTGTCTAAGAATCCTGCGGTGACAGGCAGGTGAGCCTTCAGCTGGCAAAAGCAACACCTCAGGGAGGAAAAGTGTGGGGAGGAAATTAACTAGTATTTTGTAACCATTTTAATAATTTCTTATTTCCCAAACACTGCTTTCATAACAGAAGTGTTTTACACTCGCACAGAATTAATGACTGTATCACACACGGACGCCGTGAGGCTGGTTACACAATCAGACTGCAAACAAACAGTGGTACTTTCCTGACGTCAGCGGAGGACGTAAGACTGAGACATCCCCAAAAGTACATAAAAACTCATCAGCGCAAACACCCAAGTCCATTAAAAAATATCATCAGGAGGAAAATACAATGGCTAAAAAGTGGTTCGGAGCACAGCCACCGTCGCCAGCAGCTGCGAACGGCAATCGGGGCTGGGAGCTGGCTCGGGTGACTGCGAACGGCCCCGGCACAATACTGACGGGCGCCCCGTGCACCGTGCGACCAGGCTGCGGCTCCACCAAGAGGCTCTGAGGTCACTACGAAAGGCAGGCCCACCCCTACCCCCCCTCCCGTGAGCTATGGCACCAGCTGGAATTACACACCTTCGTCACCTCTCCAGCTCCGAGTGCGTGGGGCGTTCTGACACGTGAAAATCTAGACGGGGTTCTGTTGTTGTTGTTGTTCAAGGTGGGGAGTGGCAGGTGTTCATCTTATTGTTTAGTATTTGGATGCCATAGGCATGTAAGATGCTTATTGGAATGTAACTCATTCTAAAATTGAAACTGTCAAGACAAGGCCCAGAACTCTTAGAAAGAGCGTAGGTTCAGAAGGAGAAAAAAAACAAAAACACAAGCACCCAGAAGTGTGGGTGACGTGTACCAGACAAGAGGACAGTGCCTCTCGGCTGCGCAGAACAACAACACACACCCCCCGTTTCAAACTATGTAATTCCAACGTGGGTCCTAACACTGGCACCCGACTCGGGCTTCAACACTGGCCAGACGTCAGCTGACTGACTCCTCATGGAACCGCAGCCTGGTCACACGTGGGGCAAGGAGAGGGTGCTTTTTAAAGATTATTTCTTCTTTAATTAAAGCTATCATCCCAGGCTTTGATCAAAGGTCCCAGAATCCGTCCTGCCCGGCTGGGATGGACGTGGTCGGGAAGCTCAGGGCACAGTAAGAAGCCGCCACAGAACACGGGTCGCCCACATCTCGAACTTCGCATCAGCCCAGATGGAGACAGCAATTTGAAATGTTTCGATCCCTTACTCAAACGATGAAATGTAAATCCTATCAGCCCAGACAGAGCAATTTGAAATGTTTTCGATCCCTTACTGAAATGGTGAAACGTATACCATATCATCTGTAAACTGGATATCCCATTACAGTGATAGCGTACAGAATTCCCATGCGTTATTACACTTTCCTGAGAGTAAAGCAATTAGAATAACCTTAATCCTAGCAACAAAGTTTTTTTGTTTTGTATTTTTACATAGTTTTTTTTCTTTTTTTTCCATTCTTTTTTCTTTTTTTTTTTTTTTGCATTTAAAACTTTTGGGCTATTCCCTGACGATCTATACATGTAAATTTGATTGCTAAACATTGTCACTTTGAATGTCAAACTATTTTTAATCTATTGATTTCGATTAAAAATCATAATAGAAACAGAGCTAAAATCACACTAACAAAATAAACTAAATATGAAAAGTTGCATTGAAAGGGCATTACATTATTCTTAAGAGGATCGTGTACAAACATTCCAATGGCAGTGTTCTCAGAACGAAACAGAAACCGCATCCTTCGACCGCCAGCCTGTCACCTGGGGGCTTACCTGTAGCTCTGGCTGGTGGGCGTCTTTACTCGTGTACTACATGGCTCACTCACATCGGACATCATGTTTGTGTACCCTGAGAAATCTGACACCGAAGTCCTGACTCTGTGGTCCACTTCGCCGTTAGAGTTACTGACAAAGGTCATTGGCACCCTGCTGCCCGACTTGAACTGAGAACCGAACGCCTGTGCAAAGTTCTCGATCTGGTACGTTGCTCGAGGCTCGATGTCCTTCGGAGGGTCCATCTGGCTCGCTAACTCCTGAGATGGCATCTGAAAGCTGGTGGAGGACTCCAAGTTTTTCTGCTGCTCCTTCTGGCTCGGCAGTTTCTGAGATGAGGACTGGAAGGCCGAGGAAGTCTCTAGATTCTTCTGAGAGTCGATCAGATCGTCCAGCTCCTGGGAAGGGGTCAACTGCTGGTGGGTGGCATCCAGAGCAGACAGGTACAGACCCGGCTGCGATCCGAACAACATCCCAAAAGGAGGCTTTGGCAACGAAGATGGCAACACTGAGGTAACAGACTGGCCGAAACCACACTCCAAGGGAGACGTAGTGTAAATCTGTTTTTCCGGGAACAACGTGTGGTTGTGGAGAGGTGAGGACAGACTGACGAACTGGAAACCGTGTCCGAGCGCGAAACCTGCGTTGGTGGATTTCTCGAACGCCTGCTGGAGGTATTTGGAGTATTCCTGCAACACCATGGCCTTGTCGCTGGAGGGGGTCTGGGTGCCGGGGCTCAGGCTCCCCTCGGGCACCAGCTCCGAGTGCTCTCCTGAGGCGTGTAAATCCACGCGCGGCTCGGCGATGCTGAAAGGGTCCTCCTTCTGGCTCTCCGACTTGCTGGAGTACTGATCCAAGATGCTCTGCAGGACCTCGTCAGGAATGCCGGACTTGTCGTGGCAGGACTTGATGTCCGCGTTCAGCGCGGAGGAGTCGATCAGCGACAGCGGGGCCTCGCTCTCCAGGACGCTGACCCCGGCGGCCTGGATGACGGACGGCTGGGAGACCATGTGGCCCACGTTGATCGAGAAGGCACTGTTGCTGGTGGCGGTGGGCAGGTATCTCCTTTTCTTGGAGAACTGCATGGCATCGTCGTAATTGCTGTTCATCGGGCCCTGCTTGCCGCAGTTCAGGTAGCTTTTGTCTGTGTTCTTCCTGCTTCCTTTCTTGAAGATGAGCTTTGGCACCCTTTTCTGGAGCTCGTCGAGGCCGCCGCCGCCCATCATGCCCCCGCCGGGCGACATGGCGGGCATCTCCACCGAGTAGGTCTGCAGGCCC